TGACCAGCTCGTTAATATGATGAAAAGCATGACACACAAGAAAACGAAGACCATAAGACCGAAGACAAAACCAGAACGCGTCGGCCTTAGGGGAGCAGCTTCGACTCAGAACTTTACCAAAGACCCTCTGATACTAATAGCTTCTTTGAAATGTCGTGAAGATAGTGTATATGTAGATGGAGAAATAAATGGTAAAAAGCATACGTTGTTGGTGGATACCGGAGCGACAAGAACCATTATTCGACCGACAGTTATAAACAGCCGTAAGAAACTGTTACCAACGAGGTTGCGACTTCGGACCGCTACGGGTGAAAATGCCAACATTCACGGAGAAATCCAGATACAATTAGGAATTGGAGCAGAAAAGTTCGTCCATACTGTTATAGTGGCTGACATCGAAGAGGATGTTATATTAGGAATGGACGTAATGAATACGCATGGATTCCAATTGGATTTTAAGAATAAGGTAATCAAAGTTGGTAACGAGGAGGTATTTCTCCGTCCACATGATGACAACACTATGCAAGCAGCCGTTAAAGAAGATACAGTCGTGCCTGCGAGAAGTGAAACGATAATAGTAGCGCGGCTACAGGGAATTGTGGACGAAGGAACACCTGTTATGATGGAGCCTTGGAATCATGACGACGAAGTTGGCCGTGGAATCATAATTGGAAAAGAATTAGTGACTTCGGCTAAAGAAATTCCTGTGAGACTTATTAATGTCAATGACTACCCAGTGACCATCAAGAAAGAGACAAAAGTAGGAACTTGTGTACCTGTCACATCCATAATCCGTCAGACGACAACGTCTGATAATTCCAACGATAAATTTGATCAAATGGTTGCGGTTGCTGGACAGTCTCTGAATCAGATTGAGAAAAGGAAATTAAGGGAATTTCTTCGGCAGTATCGTGATATTTTCGTACCGAAAGGAGGAAAGACGGGAAGAACTACCGTTGTTAAGCATAAAATTGATACTGGTAATGCTAAGCCAATTCGTCAAACAGCTCGACGATTACCACAGGCGAAAAGAGAGGAAGCTGAAACGATTGTTCAGGAAATGAAGAAAGACGGGGTGATAGAACCTTCTACGAGCCCATGGGTCTCTCCGGTGGTCCTGGTTAAGAAGAAAGACGGAACAACGAGGTTCTGTGTGGATTACCGTTTGCTGAACAACGTTACCAAGAAAGATAGTTATCCTCTGCCTCGGATCGATGACACATTAGACACATTGGCTGGAAGTAAATTATTTTCTACTTTGGATTTGAAGTCTGGATACTGGCAGGTAGAAATGGACCCGGTAGATAAAGAAAAGACAGCCTTCACCACAGGATCTGGATTATGGCAATTCAACGTTATGCCATTTGGACTTTGTAACGCTCCTGCGACATTTGAGAGGCTTATGGAAAATGTGTTGAGAGGGTTATCTTGGAAAACATGCCTAGTTTATCTAGACGACATAATTGTCTTGGGGGAGACATTTGAAGACCATCTGAAGAATTTAGAAAACGTTTTTAATCGACTTAAAGCTACCCAATTGATGTTAAACCCCAAGAAGTGCCAGCTATTTCAAGGTAAAGTCAATTATCTGGGTCATGTAGTCAGTAAAGAAGGAGTGGCCGTGGATAAGGGAAAAATCGATTCTATTAAGGAATGGCCAAAACCAACTGACAAACACCAAGTGAGAAGTTTTCTGGGACTGTGTACTTACTACCGGAGGTTTATTAAGAAGTTTGCAGATATCGCTAAACCATTAACGCGACTTACAGAGGAAGCAAGAGAATACCGCTGGGATGTAGACTGCCAGAATGCCTTTGAAACCTTAAAAAAGCATTTAATCACAGCACCAATTTTAGGGTATCCACTGCCAGAAGGAGAGTTCATCTTAGATACAGATGCAAGTAATGTGGGAATTGGAGGAGTGCTGTCTCAGATTCAAGGAGGACAGGAAAGAGTCCTTGGATATTTTAGTAAAGTTCTCTCAAAACCTGAGCGAAATTATTGCGTCACGAGAAGAGAACTTCTGGCAGTAGTGAAATCAGTAGAGCACTTCTATCAATACCTCTATGGAAGGAAGTTTTTAATCCGAACCGACCATGCCGCCCTTAAGTGGTTGATGCAGTTTAAGAATCCAGAGGGTCAGATAGCCAGGTGGATCGAACGACTCCAAGAATATGATTTTAAGATTGAGCACCGGGCCGGAGTTAGCCACCGAAACGCTGATTCTCTTTCCAGAAGGCCATGCCCAGCAGAGTGTTCTCACTGCAACAAAACGGAATCCAAGGAAGCAGCAGTGCTAAGAACGACGGTGGTCCACGACGACTGGACGCCTACCAAGATCAGGGAAAAACAAGAGAGAGATTCAGTTATACAGAAAATCCGAAAATGGAAAGAGGAAAACCGTCGACCACCTTGGCAAGAAATATCGAACCTAGGCTCAGTAGTGAAGACGTATTGGGCCCAGTGGGACTCATTTATCATGGAAGATGGCTTGCTCAAACGAGTCCTGGAAAATGATGACGGTTCAGAGAAGAGAAGACAGTTGGTGATTCCAAAGAGCAGAATAGCCGAAGTACTTCGTCAGTTACACGACAGTCCATCAGGAGGGCATTTTGGTGTGAAGAAGACCCTTCAGCGAGTTCGGGAACGGTTTTATTGGATGAACAGTTCCGACGATGTAAAAGACTGGTGTAAGAAATGTACTATTTGTGCTACGAGTAACGGGCCTTATCGAAAAAGGAGAGCTCCTATGAGACAATATAATGTTGGAAGCCCGTTTGAAAGAATAGCTTTGGACATTGCTGGGCCGTTTCCAGAAAGTGATAATGGAGGCAAGTACATGTTGGTAGTAATGGATTACTTCACTAAGTGGGTCGAGATTTACGCACTTCCAGACCAGAAGGCGGCCACCGTTGCAGATAAGTTGATCCAAGAATATATCAGCCGATTTGGAGTGCCTTTGGAGATCCATAGTGACCAAGGCAGGAACTTCGAAAGCGATTTATTCCAAGGAATATGTGATAGACTAGGTATGAAGAAAACAAGGACTACGGCTTATCATCCGCAATCGGATGGTATGGTAGAACGAATGAATAGAACAGTTGGCAAGTATTTGACAAAGATGGTGTCCGATCATCAGCGAGACTGGGACCAATATCTCCCGTTCTTCACAATGGCCTACAGATCTGCTGTTAATGAATCAACAGGCCAGACACCAGCCAAAGTCCTATTCGGACGCGAGATGCGACTACCTTGTGATCTAGAGTTTGGGTGTCGACCTGGAGAAGATGTAGCAGGTGAAGATTATGTGATCGAATTACGAAGAAGAATGGACGATGTACACGAGTTGGTCCGTTCCCATCTCCAGATCGCTAGTGACCGAATGAAGAAACGGTACGATACGCAAGCCGAAAAGGGGTGTTTTAAGAAGAACGATAAAGTCTGGCTTTATAACCCCAAAAAGCGAAAAGGTTGTTCTCCCAAATTGCAGCAGTTTTGGGAAGGTCCATACCTCATTATGGAGAAGATCAATGATGTTATTTACCGAATAAGCAAGATTCCGAGAGGAAAGCCGATGATAGTACACCATAACCAGTTGGCGTCTTTCGAGGGTGACCACGACGTAGATGAAGAAGTGGAAGTAAACCAAGTCCAAGATGTGTCTGACCTCACGTTTGAGGAATTCATGGGTGCCTATGGAGGTACCGGTAAAGCAAGACATGGTGTTACCACTGAAGAAAGGCAAGATCTACTCGCGCTTCCCGATGACTATTCACTGGCCCTTACCATCCCGGCCAGTATCAAAGATGCACCAGGGTTGGCATCCGTCTTTCGAAGGAAGTTTGGTCGAGTTGCAGAACTTCAATGCCAAGTGCCAGCTCCTGGTAAAACCTTGAAACTTCAAGATGCATCACGTTACCTTTTCTACCTGGTAACAAAAGACACTGCCCGTGACCAACCTACCTACCGAGATGTATGGGAAGCCTTACTTCAGTTGAGAGAGCACGTACTAGAGTCCGACGTGCAAAAGTTAGCCATGCCAAAGTTAGAGTGCCACCAATTAGATTGGAGGGTTATACGAAACATGGTGGAGGAAATCTTTAAAGACATCGAAGTCCAGGTGTTAGTCTGTTGCAATCCGCATAGTTACTGGTGCGGAGAGAAAACCGTCCCTTGTCATTTCTATACAACTGGAAGTTGTAAAAGAGGGTCCAGTTGCCGATATCAGCATGCCGCTCCAGTTCCAGTCCCGACAAGGTTCCAGGAGGAACCATCTTTTAAGAGGGGGGCAATGTTACGATAAATTCTGACCCAAAATCGTAAATATATTTTACTAATATGTTTTTATTCATTCATGAATGTTCTAGGTATAACTACCTGACGAAAATCAGCCGAGCCGCTATAAAAACAAACCAGTTCATTCGAGACAATGCGGGTCAACATCCATGGGGTCTCCCCTCGGCTATAATACCAATATGACGTCACATTCCAGTATTTTCTACAAGAGTCAGGTCAGGTCTAGGCGGTCTTACGGTGCTTTATATAAAGACGAAATTTTATTGAAGAGGTCAGTCATAAGAAGCTCGGCAACCGCGATATTTAAATGTAACGAAACATAAATTATTATTTGTAATATAAATTAGAATTAATAAAGACTTTAATAAATTCGTAATTAGTTATCGTGAGTTTTAATAAATTAGATTATAGACAATAAATTAGAATAAAGACAAATAAATTAGAACTATACAAACTTCACAATATGTTAGCTTCATGGGGAATGAAGGGACTTTCTAAGAAACTGGTCTTTCTAAGAATTTGGAAGATAAAAGAAAAATAAATAACGTGTTTGAGTTTTAGAAATTTAGGAATGACTTTATGGTCTCGGCAGGCTTTAAAGAATGTTAATTCACACAGAAGACGATTTTCACGTAGCGACAGATTGAAATATGATTTAGTAAGCTGGTAAAATTTCTCCCCGTATATAAAACTCTCTGTTTTAGATTCCAAACTTAAGAGACTGCAGAAAAATGAAAATAAACAACAAAAACCTTCATATTCGGACCCGCCAACATCTAGAAAGCCTTTTGTAACAACCGTTAAAAAGGGACAATTCCTAGAACCGCCACCCGAGATAGCATTACTTATGGGGGTCAAAATAGAAGAACCAAAAGTTGTAAAGAAAAACCCAAAGGAGCTAAAAAAGCTGTACGCTTTTGCTAGTCAACCAAGACTTTTAAGTCGCACTCCGCCTAGAAGTGTGCATCAGTCTAGGTAAGTAATATCAAAATGGTAAAAGTTACTTTTCTCTGTTTTGTGCTAAACACCAGGTTTATCCCACTTTGACTTTTTACCCACTTCTTGGATACCTAACTCAACAATATTAGATATAGTTAGTATAAAACTAGTACATCTTTAATGATATACTGGTATTAGGATTCCACACTCGATGTGCACATCTATAATAAGGTATTTAGGTATCATCATATTACTGTAGTGATCTAATTATCATCATCATTCAATCTTCGCTTGTCCACTGCTTTACATAGAGCTTCCTAATTATTTTTTATCTGTTTCGAGCTCGCGTCTCTTGCATCCAGTTTCTATAGCAATGTTTTATATTGTCAGTTCAACGTGTTAGCCGACGACTTCTACGGTAGGCATCTTATTTGTCATTCGAGCCACGTGACCTGTCCAGTTCGATTTCAGTATTGTTATTCTCCCTACAGAATCAGCCACGCCTGATCTTCATCGTAGCTAGTCGTTTGTAATATTGTTCCGCATGGAAATGCCCAATATAGCACGCTTCATCGCCCTTTGAACCACATGGATCTTTTTTACTGTTCTCGTTGTCATAGTCAACGATTCCACTCCGTGAGTCAACACTGGTAAAATACACTGATTAACGGTTTTCTTTTAAGACATATTGGTATGTCAGACGATTTGAAAATGTGGTTCAACTTGCCGAAGGCTGCTCAAGTCAATCTTATATGATGGAGAAGCTCAAGTAAGTATTTGGTCATCTTTGCCCATGCAAATCTCGTGACTTAGGTATTTATAGACCATAACCTGGTCTATGGATTTTGTTCCTACGCATATATCTTCGTTGACTACAAGATTTGTCATAATCTTTTTTTATTATTATCCAGGTTTTTTATAGCGTTCTCCGCCTTCCGGTTCCCAGTTTCCAGCTACGTCGGTCGTTCCATTCGCCAGAGTTAAGTCTTTCCGACTCTCTTCCTTCTTTTCCTTGGTGTCCATTTTAAAATTTGGTTTGGCAGCCTGTCGTCGTCCATTCTTTTCACATGACCATACCAGATCAGTTGTCTCCTTTGAATTTCGTCAATGATGGTTGACTTGACTCCCATTATATTTCTGATATGGTCATTTTGTATTCTATCAAGCCTTGATTTTCTAGCTGATCTTCTCCAGAAGTCCATTTCCAATACAAGTAGGTGTCGCTCAAGGGATTTAGTAAGTTGCCATGTTTCGCATCCATAGAGCACTATACTTTTAAAGATGGAGTTAAAAAGGAGATGCTTTCTTTGATTTGATAGTTCTTTTGACCATAGCATCGGGTTTAGGCATCCTATCACCCTTTTTCCTTTCACGATTCTTTGCTCTATCTCTTTTTCGGTGCGCCCACTCTTGTTGATTGTTGTTCCCAAATATCTTTATATATATATATATATAGAAAAGAAATTTAATCTTTGCAGATAAGTTAAATAGTAAACTCTTAAATATTGGGGAAATCTGCAAATTTTTTGCAGATTTCCCCAATATTTAAGAGTTTACTATATATATATATATATATATATATATATATATATATATATATATATATATATATATATATATATATATATATATTCCTCACAGTTCTTGATTGTTTCATGTTCGTTGACCATTAGATCTTCTACTCCATACCCGATGCATAAGTATTGCGTTTTTTTTCTATTTGTAGAGAGGCCCCATTCTTCATATGTTTTAAACAACCGTCTCGTCATGAATTCTAAATCTTCCTTGTCTGCTGCCACTACTACTTGGTCGTCCGCAAAATGTAGAGTATATAATGTTGTATCATCGTCAAGTTGGATCCCCATTCCGGAACAGGATCTTCTCCAGTGTTTTAGTGCTTCATTTAAATAGATCTTAAATAATATTGGAGAGAGGCAGCATCCTTGTCGTAAGCCTTTTGTTACTGGAAATTCTTCTGATAAGGTGTTGTTTAGTTTGATTTTTGATGATGCTTTGTTGTATAATTGTTTGACTGCGGCGATGATCGTGCTATTTAATGGAGATCGTTTAAGAGACTGCCACAGCTTTCTAACAGGAATCGTGTTATATGCTTTTGTGAGATCCACAAATAAAAGATGTATTTCCTGGTTTCTTGTAACTTTCTTTTCATTCAATTGTGTTAAGGTAAATATGTGGTCTACGCAAGATCTTCCAGCTCTAAATCCTGCTTGCTGTTCAATTTCATGAGGTTCGTATTCTTGCTCAATCATGTTTTTTAAGATTTTACCAAACAGCCTACTAAAGGTACTGGTGACAGAGATACATCTGTAGTTTCCGCAAATATCTTTTGGACCTTTTTTGAGAATTGGAGTAATCCATGCTTCTTTCCAACTATTCGGGATTTCTTCCCCATTTAAGTATCTTATGAATAGCCCTTTAAGATAGCTTATTAGTTTTGGTGTTCCGTTTTTTAGAAGTTCTGCTGGTATGTTCTCCGGCCCGGATGCTTTGTTATTCTTCATCTACGTTTTAGATATATTTGTTTTTTATGCTTCTTCTAGCTTCTTCTTCTAATTTAAAAATTATTTGGTCTTATCTGTCTTATTAGCTATTAGCACAATAGCAATTGCAAACCTCAGGTGGCTAATCTGTTCTCCATGTATGATCATAACCTTATCGGTCAGTTTTGCCCTTTTACATGTATATATTCCAAAAACGCAGTGAACAGTTTCGGTGATATGGTTTTCCCCTGACGTACTCCACGTTATATGGGTAATTTCTCACTTTGACGATTACCCACTCCAACACCAGCTGTTGTGTTTTGATATATGTGTCTAATTATATTTGTATTCTGATAGTCAATTTAGCATTCTGTCAAGGCTTCCAACATTTTTTGTTGATTTATGGTGTCAAAGGCCTTTTCATAATCCACAAATATCAAAGCTAGTGGTTTATTATATTCAATACATTTTTTTCTACAATGCTAGTCAAAAGTCCTTTCCCCCCTCGTATCTTTTAAACGGTTATTGTTATGATAGTGAAATTTGGAGGGAGGTAATAAACAGACGTAAGCTTCTCAACTAGTCATAAGAGGGGACGTAATAGTGACAGATGACGTTACAGCGCCACTGTGACATATAATTTTAAATGGGACCTTATGGCAAGTGATATCTCGTTTGAAAGATATTGAAAATACCTATTTAGTCATAATAATTTTGTTTGAGTTTAAGCTCATTTTAATGAATAAATTAAATAAATACTAAAATTGTAGCTTCTCATTTAATTGATAAATATTTAACAACCAGTTCTTATAGTAAGTGTTTAAAATGTGCTACATCTACTTCCTGACAGTAATGCATCCTATTTCTAAACTCTTGCCGTACTCGTTCAAATGCGTCGGGGGAAATTGCCCTACATTCTTCAACCATTCGTTGTTTTAAAATGTCAATATTGTCGGTTGCTGTAGTGTAAACTTTAGATTTCAAGTATCCCCACAGAAAAAATCTAATGGTGTGAGGTCCGGTGATCGAGCTGGCCATTCTATCGTACCTCGTCCACCAATCCATCTACCACGATATTCCTCATCTAGGTAATGTCTTACTGCACCATAATGGTGTTCAGGAGCACCATCTTGTTGAAACGTTATTTCCAAGTTGCCGAATTGATCTGGAGTATCCTCCAGACTTTCAAGTATTAATGGTTCAATTGAATTTTGTAACATCTCCAGATACACTTCACTGGTTAAGTTAGTATTGAGACAAACAGGCCCAACTATATGGTTTCCCAAAATACCTGCCCAAACATTTACTTTTTTTTTCGAAATTGAGTATGTGTTTCACGAAAGACGTGAGGACTTGTGTCACTACCTCAATTTGCGTGTGTTAACATTTTCATTGAGAGAAAAAGTACTTTCGTCATCAAAACAAATTGTTTTTATGTAATTTGGTCTGCTGGTTAATTTTATTGAACACATTTTTACAGAATTCTAGTCTTCGGTAGGGGTCATCATCTGAAAGTTGGTGCACAATTTTTGATTTCTATAGATGAAATTTGTTTTCAGCCAACACTCGGTGTACTGTCTTTTGACTGATTCCATAGATAGATGCAACTTGGGCTGTAGAAGAAGTAGGTTTACTACCATTTCTGATATTATGTCAATTTTTTTATCATCACTAATTGTTGGTCGACCAGATCGTTTGATATCTTGAACACTACCTGTTTGTTTAAACTTCCGAAGAAGCTTTCTCAAATAAGATCTCGATATAGAGCGATAGAGGTACCTCTAATTAAAAACACGTTCCGCTGCATGGAAATTATTTCCACATTCACCAATTAGTAACACAGCTGCTACTTTATCGGATACAGTACGTACCATTTTGCATTTGTAAAGAATAATTAACTAAACTAACTAACTAACTAAACTAAATATTACCTAAGGACAGCTAACTAAAAACAACTTGACTAAACTTGAATTGACTCAACTAAGTAGAAACAGAAACTAAATATTGGGCTATAAACGCTTTTGCAAACTAAAACAACTAGAGAACACTTGTTGACAAACGTCAACTGTTTTTGACAAATAACTAAAGGCTGCCGTTAGAATTTTTATTAATTAAATGCCAAATTAGATTTTTGGTATTTATTTAATTTATTCGTCAAAAGCATCTTAAATCCAAACAAAATTAGTATGATTTAGGTATATAAAAATATTTGTATTTTCGTATTTAATTAATAAATATTCTAACGTTCGCCTCTGGTTAATTGTCAATTAGTTGACGTTGACGTAAAAACAACTAGAGAATTGAAAAACGTCAACTTTTTGACAAGTAACCAGAGGCGGAGGTTTTAATATTTATTAATTAAATGCGAAACTACAATTTTAGTATTTATTTAATTTATTTATCAAAATGAGCTTAAACTCAAATAAAATTATTATGACTAAATAGGTATTTTCAATACCTGTCAAACGAGGTATCACTTGCCATAAGGTCCCATTTCTGTAATAATTTTTGACAGAAAAGCATCTGTCACAGTGGCGCTGTAACGTCATCTGTCACTATTACGTCACCTGTTATGACTAGTTGAGAAGCCTACGTCTGTTTATTACTTTTCTTCAAATTTCACTATTATAAGTATAACAGTTCAAAAGATACGAAGGGGGGAACGGACTTTTGACGAGCACTGTATAAAAATTTTTATTAGCAATAAGTGATCGTTTGTTCTGTAGTCTTTTCTAAAACCCGCCTGTTCTATGGGCTGATAAAATTCCCACTTATTTTCTAATTGTTTCATCACTAAGTTGGTGTTACTGCTTCCTGCAGACATCCAGTTAATAGTTGAGCTGCCATAATCCTTTTTCAGTCACTTACAAGCCATTTGCCATATTTTGTCTCCTCCAGGAGACTTATTGTTTTTCATTTCCTGCACTGACCTTTGAACTTCATTGGGTGTTATGTCTTTTAAAATTTGAGATTTCTGATTAATTATCTTTGGAAATAATACACTCCGGCACATAGCTGTTCCTTGTATAGTTGACTATAAAAACTCTTTATAGAGTTACTAATTTGATCTAGATCCCAATGATTTGCCCTTGTTCATTTCCTAATTTGAGGATGCTTTTTCTTTTTGTTTTCTTCTATTACTCTAGTTATTTACATCGCATTGTAGAGTATCAGATCCTTTCTAACCTCATTTTAAATTTTTTATTTAAGATTCTTAGTCCATTTTTGTTATGATCCTGATTTTCTCTAAGTTTTCTTCTTTCCTCTAGGTGTTTTGTGCTGTGGCTTAATGAGTGTGAGTGATGTAAAAACATTAAATATTATAGAAATTATAAGCATAGAAGATTTCCACCTTTCATCATATGAAGGCAGTCTTCAAGATTTTTGTTTTTTTGGCATCAGAGTATAAATCTCGATATGTGTAAATTTAACTTCTTTCTTCATTCTTGTAAGTAGACTGAAAAGCCGGTTTCTTCTTGAATATTAGCCTCCTAAATTGTTTAACAACGCATAGAACTCTTAATATCATACGCGATCCCAGGTGTACGCCCCCACTGCAGATAAAGATGAAAATGAAATAGAAGAGTTCTACAAGACATTATTGGTGAATTCGGGCTAGAAATAAGGAACGAAAGAGGGAAAGACTGACGGAATTCTGTCAGGAGTTTGAAATGATAGCGACAAATACATTTTTTTAGCTACCACCACGTAGATTATATACATGGAAATCACCTAAGGATAGCAAAGAAAAAATTATCAGAAACCAGATAGATTATATCCTTATCAATAAGAGATACCGTAACTCCATCAAATCGGCAAAGACATATCCAGGAATAGATGTGTCATCAGACCACAATCCAGTAATCGTAAAATTCGAAATCCACTTAAAGAAAATAAAAAAACAACAAAAGACACAACAAATAAGCACTCTGCTAAAACACCCGAATACAAAAGGAGAACTAACGTTGAAAATTAACGAGGAGTTAAGCAAAACAATAATCAATGATAATGAAGATTCCAACGAAGAATGGGAAAAATTTAAGAACACATTAATGATGCCAATGAAAAATACGATAAGTAGTCACAAAATCGATAAAGCTAAGACTCCATGGATGACAGATGAGATCCGGCAACTAATGGACAAAAGAAGATCATAAAAAAACAAAAATGTAAACGAATACAAAGCCACACACAAGGAGATCAGGATAAAAATACGGGCAGCTAAAGAAAAGTGGTACAACGACAAATGTTTAGAGATAGAAGATCTCCAGAGAAATCATGATAGTTTTGAAGTGCACAAAAAAATTAAAGAATTAGCAGGTATAAGACGGTCCAACAATAGTAACACCCTGGTGGATACGAATGGTAAAATAATATCTGATGTAAAAGGCAAACTAAACAGATGGAGAGAATACGTCCAAAAATTATTTGAGGATGACAGGACACAACAAGATAGTATGAACGATTGCGAGGAACATGATATAGGTCCAAATATAACTAAGGATGAAATAATACATGCAATAAATCTAGCAAAATCTAATAAAACTGACACAATTCCAACTGAAATAATTAAATTAATATCAGAAGATCAGATCAATGTATTAGTAGACTTATATAATACGGGTATTATTCCGAGAGATTGGCTCAAATCAACATTTATTACATTACCAAAAAACCTATAGGGAAACCTGCAAGGGAATGTAATGATCACCGTATAATTAGTCTAATTAGTCACACACTAAAAATGTTCTGCAACTGTAAGGGATAGGGAAAGATGGAGAGAACTGGGGGAGACCTATATCCAACAATGGAAGGATAGAGAATAGGTTCAAAAAAAAAATATTCTTAAAAATTATCCATTTAAGAATTTTCAGAAAAGTAGAACAAGACATCACTGAAACCCAATTTGGATTTAGGAATGCCATGGGTACACGAGAGGCATTGTTTGGATTTAATGTCCTCATGCAAAGATGTATGGATGTAAACCAACCACTCTATGTTTGCTTTATTGATTATAATAAGGCGTTCGATAAGGTCCGACACAACCGTCTTATACAATTACTTAAAGAGAAATACATTGACAAAAAAGACTTAAGAGTAATAACTCAGCTCTACTTTAACCAAACAGCAAAAGTCAGAATCGACAGAGAACTTTCGGAGGAAGTAGAGATAAAAAGAGGCGTAAGGCAAGGTTGCATACTCTCCCCCTTATTGTTCAATCTTTATTCGGAAGAAATAATTAAAAAATCACTCGAAAATGTAACAATTGGAATAAAAGTCAACGGCAGACCCATCAACAATATCAGATATGCCGATGATACTATACTAATTGCAGAAAATATGCAAGATCTTCTAGACACTTCTAGATAATGTAGTAAATAGTATGTAGTGAGGAAAGCGGACTAACGCTTAATGCTAATAGAACAAAATTTATGACAATTTCCAAAACACAACAACAAGACAGTTTAAACATAAGAAGAGTTCCAATAGAAAAAGTCAAAAAATACAGATATCTTGGTACAATTATTAATAAAATAACGAGTATACAGAATAAATAAAAATGAGAATTGGACAAGCTAGAGTAACATTTACCTAATAAGATGAGAAAAGTATTATGCAGTAGAGATCTTGGTTTACAACTAAAAATAAGAATATTACGTTCTTATGTGTTTTCGGTGCTGCTGTATGGGGTGGAGGCCTGGACCTCTGACCTACCGAAGAATATTAAAAATAAGTTGGGTAGACCGAATAACAAATGTTGAGGTTCTCAGAAAGATACAAAGGAAATGGAAATCATGAATACGATTAAGATAAGAAAGTTACAGTATCTCGGCCACGTTATGAGAGGGGATAAATATGTGTTGCTACAAACCATAATGCAGGGAAAAATACAGGGAAAACGAAGTATTGGAAGAAGACGCATCTCCTGGCTCAACAATCTGAGAAAGTGGTATAATTGCAGTTCCGTCGACTTGTTCAGAGCTGCAATCTCAAAAGTGAAAATAGCTGTGATGATTACCAACCTCCTTACAGGAGATGGTACCTAAAGAAAAAGAAGAAATTGTTTAAATTATCGCACCATCTATTTCTTGGTCCGCCAATACTTCTTCGTCAATTCGGTGGCTTATCTTGTGCTATTCGTACTATCCTATCCTCTGCCATTCTAATAATTAATGTGTTCGTTTCACTCCTGTTTCTGTTTTGTTACATATCCATTTATGTTTTCTAATCTATTCCCAGATACCTAAACCTTGCTCCTTGCTTTATTATTTTCTCATCAATTTCAATTTTACATCGTAGTAGGTATTCAGATGTTGTCATAAATTTGGTTTTTTCTGCTGATATTATCTTTCTTGGCTGTTGTAATAAAGATGTGTGTTTAATCTTTCTAGCCGGTCTTCTGTCTCGGCGATTAATGCGGCGTCATCTGCATAACATAATATGCATTTTAATTTCTTTGTTACTCATTCTGTAAGCATGATCTTTATGTACTGCTGGTATTATTTCGTCCATTATTATATTAAAGAGGAGGGGGCTTAACAAGTCGCCTTTCTGCCTCCATTTTGTATTGGTACACACTGTGTTGGTTTTCTTTGCCTGTATTGGACTATGGAAGTAGATGTTTTCGATGGTTTGGTGTTAAATTTAACAAGATACTTATTCTATAAAGCCTAAATTTTAATTTTTTAAATTATAATACATACTTTTAAGTATGTCAAAATGCCAAAAGTACATCAAATAAAAAAATATCTATTTGTATGTTTAAGATGCGAAGCCGCAGCTTGGGCAGCAGCAAAATTAGTAGGTACAGTTGTTGGCGTTAAGAATGAAAATGAGAAACTCAGGTTTGTAGAATAAATTTTTAAAAATTTAACTTTTAATAAAAAATAATTTTTAAGAATATTTAAAGACTAAAAAATGTATCTGCCAAAAAAAGGTACTAAAATCTAGAGCACAGTTAACCTTCTTCTTCTGCATGTGCCTTGTCCGTTCCGAACGTTGGCAATCAACATGGCTATTCTGACTTTGTTTACGGCAGATCTGAATAGTTCAGCAGATGACAATCCGAACCATTGCCGCAAGTTTTGGAGCCACGAGTGTCTTCTCCTCCCTGGACCCCTTCTGCTGTCTATTTTCCCTTGAACGATCAGCTGTAGTACTCTATATTTATTATGTCTCATAACGTGACCCAAGTATTCCAACTTTCTTTTCTTTATACTTATTGCTGCCTCTCTCTCTCTTTACTTATCCGGCTTAGTACCTCTTCGTTGGTCATGTTCTCAGTCCAGGCTATATGTAATATACGTCTGTAAGTCCACATTTCGAAGGTTTCTACATTTTTCATCAATGTTACGGTCATTGTCCACGCCTCCATTCCATATAACAAAACCGGGAATACATAACATTTCAGAAGTTGAATTTTGAGAGGTAGGGTGAGGCTTTTAGAGGTGAAAATTTGCTTCATGCTAGTGAACGATACTCTTGCCTTTTCTACTCTTATACGTATTTCCTTAGCTTGATCCCAATTTGAGTTAACTGTTGTTTCCAAGTAGATGTACGAATCCACGAGTTTAATTTTTTCATTGTCTAATTTCAGTTGCTGTGGTGGTTGTTGGGTTTTGCTTACTAACATCCATTTGGTTTTTGCGATATTTAGTCTGAGTCCGTATTGTGCACTTGTTTTTTGTATCTTACTCATTAGGCAACTCAGTTCCTCCATGCTACTTGCTAGAATCACAGTGTCATCAGCAAACCTTATGTTATTAATTATTTCTCCATTTATCTTTATGCCTTCTGTGATTTCCTCTAGCGCTGTCTTAAATACTTCTTCTGAGTATATATTAAAGAGAATTAAAGACAAGATACAGCCCTGGCGTACCCCTTTCTTGATCTCAATTTTATTGGTCAATGTAGATCCTACTTTCACTTTAGCTGTTTGACCCCAATAGAGACTCGCTATTGTTCGAATGCCTCTGTAGTCAATTCCGATCTTATGGAGAACTTTAATTATCTTTTCGTGCTTAACGTTATCGAATGCTTTTGCGTAGTCTATAAAGCATATGTACACGTCTTTGTTCATATCTCTGCAGCGCTGGATGAGTAGACTAAAAAGTGCTTCTCTTGTCCCAAGAGAATTCCGAAACCCAAACTGCGAATCTCCAATGTTATTCTTGCATTTTTTGCTTATTCTGTTGTAAATAACCTTGGTGTATGCCTTCGAAATGTGGTTAATTAGACTTATCATCCTATGTTAATCACAAGACTTTGCTTTTGGTTTTTTCGGTATGGCAACAAAAGTTGACTCTAGCCAGTCTTCAGGAAATTTACCGCTGTTTATAGCGCTGTTTATACCGCAATAAATATTGTTAAAGAGTCTGACGAGTGAGTCTAGAAATTGACTGTTTGTTTCGCACAGCATTTTCAATACTTCCCCGTATACGTTATCGTTGCCTGGTCTTTTGTTATTTTTAAGACCCTTTATAGCACTCTCCACTTCTGATTTTAGAATAGAAGGGCCAGTATCATCATTGCTTAGTGTATACCCACTAGGACGGTCATCATTAAACAGTTGTTCCACATAAGTTTCCCAGATTCTAACTACTTTGTCGGGGTCTAGTTGTAGATTTCTATTATCATCGCACAGCCCTTTCGATAAAATATTGTAGCTTTTCTTTGTTATGAGCTCCTTTATCTTCTTATGCATATTGTGATAGTCGTATACCTTTTCGCACTGTTCGATTTCTTCGCATCTCTCCAAGAACCATTTCTTTTTAGTTTTTCTTATCTCGGCTCTTATTCGTCTATGGGTTTCACGGTATTTGGCAGTATCTTTAGTTTTATATATCCGTCTCTCTTCCATCATGTCAAGGATTTCTGCAGTCATCCAGTCTTTCTTTTTTCTCTTATCAGGTAGTAAAAACTTAGTGCTTGAAGTCCTAATCTCTTCTTTAATTTCACTCCACTTTTCCAGCGGTTCATTGTTATTTTTAAGGATTTTTGATATTTCGGTATTTAAATTCTACTGCATCTGTTGTTTAATATTATTGTTGGAAAACTTCCTAATATCTAGCGTTTCGGGCCCGTTCTTTACATTTGGCTTTTTTAACTTTACTTCAAACTTACATACCACCGGATTGTGGTCTGATGCTACGTCCGCACCCGGGTAAGTTTTTACGGCTTTGATGGAGTTTCTAAACCTGATTGGTGCAGCGATATAATCTATTTGATTTCTGATTATTTTACCAGGTAAGTCTGCCGGTGATTTCCAGGTATAGAGTCTACGGTGCGGGAGCTTAAAGAGAGTGTTAGTAAGTACTAGGTTGTGGTCTTAGCAAAATTGAACTAGACGATCTCCTCTTTCGTTTCTTTCATTAAGTCCGAAATTTCCCACTACCTTTCCTGTTTTGCCTCGTCTTCGCATTGAAATATCCCATTATAAGTGTTATTTCATTCTTTTTGGTTGCATTAATTAAGATTTCTAGTTGTTCGTAGAAGTCTTCCATTATTGTTTCCTCTTTGTCAGCTGTAGGTGTGTATATCTGTATTATGTTCAAATCAAATGGGGACGCATACAGCTGTAAAATAATCATTCGGTCTGATAGTGCAGTGTATGATTTTATTGACGATTTTAAACGAGGTGCAACGATTATTCCAACTCCAGTTAACCAGTTACCCAGTTAACCAGTTAAACCAATTTAGCTGCAAGTGAAATCTCGACTTTATTAGAAAATTTTCGCTAAAAATAAAATTTAAGTCCAATGACTTCCTCATTCTAATCAAAGTTGTTTATCGCCGCGCTAAATCTTTTTTTCAGAACTTTTCGTTGTAAAAAACTTAAATGGCGTCGTGGGTGATATGAGTCATCAAGGCACGCCACTAAAGAATTGTTCTTGATAGATTACCTGTTTCCAGCTAATCACCATTGGGTCGACGAAGACATTGTTGACGGTGAGCTATTGTTGCTTTGGAAATTCCAAAAAGGGTCGCAAGTTTACAACATTTATTGTTATCTATATCTCTTGTTATTGTTATATTATTTAAAATATTTCATAGAAAATTTTATATTTAAAGATTCAATCATTTTATTGTTGTAAATTTTACTACCATGTAAAATTTTTTATAATGGCTTCTCAGAATTTAACCAAGCAAATTGGAGGTTTTAAATATCAATTGACACACATTGAAAACTTTTTGAATAATAATTCAGATGATTTGAACAATAAACAGTTATTACAATTAAAGTATACTAGTTTATTTGGAACTTACAAAATTACAAGATTTATCAGCGGCGGCTCGTGGCATAAAAAAGTGATGAAGATGTAATGTTTTATTGAGACAACTATTGTTAGTTTAATCTTTATTATTTAGACTTCTACATATCTTCTACAATGTCTGTTCTCTAGTGACAACCTGGAGCCTTATCTGAATATCATTGAACATCTATGTCAAACAGACCAGCCAGAAAGAAGAAGAAGCTTCGAGAAAAAGCATGTTTTTATTTAAAATTTGTTCCTTTTCCTCCCAAATCATGTGCAAACGGTTATTGATGTTTTATATATATATAAAACTTAGAGCTAAGATTAATATTAATACTAAAATTAATATTAAACTCACCAGTCTTCCGGGTTGAACCGCGTCGTAATCCATTTTGCCAAGCTTTCGGCATCCTCTTTGATGCCTTCCTCAGGGCTTCCGAGGTCTCAGTCTCCCGAGCCCCCAGACACTACTGCACTGTTCACTATTCACTTCACGATCACTACTGTAAATTTTAGTAATAATATTAATCTTAGCTCTAAGTTTTATTGTACTAACCGCGGAAATCTTTCCGAACATATATATATATATATATATATATATATATATATATATATATATATATATATATATATTAATATATATATATATATATATATATATTAATATATATATATATATATATATATATATATATATATTAATATATATATATATATATATATATATATATATATATATATATATATATATATATATATATATATACAAGGTGGTCCAGAATTATGTACATTAATTTCTAGAGTTCATAGTACGTAAAAAATAAGGGTACTTCTTTATGGACACTTTTTATAAAACTGAATAATAAGGGCGATACAACCCTTTAAGGGGGCGAATTGAAATTCTTATTTTTTCAAATATCTTTCAAACGGTTTTGAATACGGAGTTCATATTTTGGGATTGATTATAAAACATTAGGATAATTAATTTCATGTCACCACCTACCACATCCTATATTAATACAGGGTAGTTTTGGAGTGTAAGTGGGGGTTATTGCGTCACATGTTTTTTAATTTTTACATATTTTAAAAAAATATTTTAAAAATTGTTTCCTTAGACTTTTCTACGCAAAAAAGGTGCTTTGTAATATTTCGATAGATATCACCGTTTTCGATTTATTTAAACTCGAAGGTATACATGTATTTTATTGTAATCGTTACATTTCTTAATATTCATTAAGTATGCTTTGGAATTGACACTTGTGTTAGCAATAATATTACAAATTAATGGAAAACTTAATTAATACTTAACATTTAAATAATGGCGAAAATAATATTTCACAACAACTGTTCAAAATGTCCTCCATTTCGTTGAATACATAATCTAATTCTTTTATTTAGCGAACGCATTAATCCATTTAATGTTACTGGATCGTTTTTTAAATCGGAAAATACTTGTTCTATTTTGTCTCTTAACTCATTTACTGTATTTATTGGACTGATATCAAATAACTCCATACTGTAAAGTCCATTGGATTAAGATCACAACTACGAGCAGGCCAATGAATCGGTGCATCCGCACACCGGCCTATCCACCTATCAGGG